TATCCTGGGCTGCATCAAAAGAAGCGTGGCCAGCAGGTGGAGGGAGGTGATTCTGCCCCTCTGCTCTGCTCTGGTGAGACCCCACCTGGAGTACTGCCTCCACCTCTGGAGCCCTCAGCACAAGAAAGACACGGACCTGTTGGAGCAGGTCCAGAAGAGGGCCACGAAAATGATCAGGGGGATGGAACACCTTTCCTACAAAGAAAGGCTGAGAGAGTTGGGGCTGTTCAGCCTGGAGAGGAGAATGCTTTGGGGAGACCTTATTGCAGCCTTTCAATACTTAAAGGGGGCTTATAAAAAAGACGGTGGCAAACTTTTTAGCAGGGCCTGTTGCGACAGGACAAGGGGGAATGGCTTTACACTAAAGGGGGGTAGATTTAGACTAGATACAAGGAAGAAATTTTTTACGCTGAGGGTGGTGAAGCACTGGCACAGGTTGCCCAGAGAGGTGGTGGATGCCCCATCCCTGGAAACATTCAAGGTCAGGCTGGACGGGGCTCTGAGCAACCTGATCTAGTTGAAGATGTCCCTGCCCACAGCACGGGGGTTGGACTAGATGACCTTTAGAGGTCCCTTCCAAGCCAAACTATTCTATGATTCTATGATTCTATGATATAAACCTTAAAACTTGAAACTTGCTAAGAAGGAAGACCTCATACAATGAGAGCAATGTGCACTTTAAACTTTTTCTTGTCTTCAAATATCACTGTCTCTCCCCTAACGCTGGTACTTAGGTGCTGGTAAGTCACTTACCGTAGCTCCATTGGATGAGTCAGTCTTCATGAAATGTTTATTATCTTATCTGCTAACGACCAAATCAGCCAACAGACCAAGATGCAGAAATCAAGTTATGTATTTCTGATTAGAAAAGTTTTCATAGAATTAAGGAGAACTTTGACTGAATGAAGTATCGGTAAAGTTCAGTAATAGTCATGTAATTAAATACATACCATGTAGAATATACAGATGGCTATTAGGAAAGGCCTTTGCCTGAGCAAGCAATTATGCTCATAAACAGCATCCTATTGGAAACTATTACTGTAGGTTGTGGGTTTTTCTTTTTAAATGAATTGTTCATCTCTGTAATATTACTTAGCGCATTCCAAAACATCACCAAAGTAGCATTAAACATTCGGGATCAATAACAACACAGATATGAAATCTAGGACTTGGAAGCAAGTGCTCTCTCACACCGTTTTTCTTGTCCTTGACAATGGTTATCAACACATCTTATGGAAAATACCTTGTATAAAATACCTCTGCAAGCATAATTACAGCAAAGCACAATTACAGCTGGTCACTGTGCAGAAAGAAAATGATTGGTGAGGAATTTGACAGCTTAACTCCATTTGGCAGTGGGCTTTTTTGTATTTTTCTGTCTGATTAGGAGTGCACTGAAAAAAATCTAGGTCAGATCTGCCTGAAGAAGATGTGTTTGCAGGAGATTGCATAAGAAAGCCGGAACGAAACCCTGAAATATCTCTCTATACATTCCTTGATTAGGAAGCACTGGAAAAGTCAAATCTCAAGCAATCCGTTAGTTAACCCCTGAGGCTTTGTGAAGCATTGTGCTGAAACCAGATCACAGACCCTTGCTGGAGTAAACCATTCTCCACTGAAATGAGCAGAAACAGGCAGCGTCAGCCCAACCGGTGCAACTGCTGCAACTGCTTCAGCTCCCCCAGCTAAATCGCCCCAGTTTTAGCATCCTTGTTTTCCCAGACCTGACCAGAAAAAGTTTGAGCTCGCTTTCACAGAAGAGCTACCGCAAAAGCAGAAGCTTTTCTCACCAACCTAAAATCATCCCAGTATCTATAACACATTACAAGTCTTGTTTCACAGACAACATCTGAAAACATCCTCTCTCCATAACCTGACCTCTCTTTCCTCAGCACGAGGCTGATTTCTGTCTTGACCTTTTAGGGAATGAGTGGCGACACCATGCTATGCAGCCCTGGGTCATAGTCCTCGACAGGATGAACTCCAAGGCCAAACTCCCGTTGACTTCTGTGGCTTTCCAGCCACATCTGTGCACCTCAAGTCATGTAAGCCCATCAACAGACTTCCCCAGGCCAGGGTCTGCCCATGAAGCCTTGAAGATCTTCATAAGCTGATTTTATGGCTTAATCACGTGGTGAGCGTGAGCAGACAGGAGAAGACTGAAGGTCCCAGCTCCGGTGGAGATGTTTTTGCATGAGCCTAAGGCATAAAGAGGCTTTTTTTTCCCCCTCTTCAGGTTTTGTCAGTTAAAAGGAATGTAAATTGAGCAAAAGGACATTCTTGGATTACACTAAGACTCTGCATGCCACTTTATACAAGTGTAAGTGTACTCATAAAGCATACTTTTATCTATAAAGCAGCTAAACTTTCCTATGTGGATTGGACGGTATCTAAATAGTTATCA